TATAAATATACATATATATATATGCGTGTGTGTGTGTGTGTGTATATGCATATATATATATATATATATATATATATATATATATATATATATATATATATATATATATATATATATATATATATATATATATATATATATATATATATATATATATATATATATATATAACCCTTAATGCATACTGTTGTATTTAATTAATTAATTACTTAATACTTTTGGCACTGCTGGCCCGGCAAAAAGTTTATTTTGCTGAGCTAGAACTTATCAAAGCAACTTATTGTCTGTGTTTATTAAGTTCTACACATTATAGTTACTTTTCCCAAACTTTACAAAATGGCATTAGGACTCCAAGAGGCATAAATTGCTTTGTAAAGTCATATGCAAAATACAAAGGCTGAGGAATTACTGATAATCCACTAAGCTCTGGTTTTGACAACCCCTTGATCATAACATAAAGTAAAAAACCTGTACAATAATCTGTATACCTTTTTCATCAACTGGAAAATGTTTTAATAACAGTAATGTTTTAGAAAGAGAGGCTTTAAACAGTGCTTAGTCCAGTGTATTCTGATTTGCAGTAAGACTAGGAGTATTGTGATATATAAGGACCTAAACTATAGCTTATGTTTGAAGACCTACGGGTGCAAATGTGACACCTGTGATCCCCCAACACACACATGCAAAGACACATGTAGATATATGGTTTGCACTGAAATCCTATGGTTTATTTTCTATTCTTTAACATGATACAGTGGTAAATAATTGGCTTCAAGCTAGAAGCATACAAATTATTACACTATAATGTAAAACATATATCATCCTCATATTCAGTGATGCCATAATTATATACTGTGTGTAATAAAAATTATCATTCTCCTTTTTAGAAAGTTTCTTATCTGTTTTTATTCTCAGTGTAGATTTCATCAATACCAAAATGAAAAATTAATAAACACTAATCAAAAAGTTTTCATGCAATAACATTCCTCAACATCAGCCTTGAATAAAATTAGATAAAAAATCAATGTGACAAGCCATGCAGGCAAATAACTTTTACAGGTCTAAAAATTACATAATTACATATTCCTACTCATTGTTACAAGTAGCATATGCTTCTGTAGAAAAAGACATCAACAGAAATGAGCAATTCAGTAATACAAGATATTATATTGATATATATATTTTTTTATATCAAACCTTTAAATTATTCCAATGATATTAAACAGTTAATTATCTTTCACTGATGAAATACTCATTCTCCCATATGTCTTTTTCTCCCTTCTTTGGGGATCACTCTGTCCTGCTTCTGTATCATGCAAGGGCAGGTATTCATTGTTCTGAAATACTGGAAATCTTGGCAGGAAAGAAAGGAAAAGAAGAATTATAAAAGTTAGCTACTTATCCTAAAACGTTAGTGAATATACTGCACTCTCGGTTTCCAGTGACTTTTGTGACTTACTGGTGATGTTGGGTCTGTGTCATCATAATATGTGAATGGTTATGTTGTTCCATATTAGTTTTTTTTGTGGTGAAGCAAAACAGCATGTTAGTTGTGTAATATATGTTATTATTAAGCAATCAGATACAATGAAATGTCCTTATACATGAATGTTGTGTGAGGGGATCACTTTACAAAAATTATTTACTTATACCCTTTGTTTTATCCTTCATTAGTATTATGCAACCATAAACCAAAAATAAAATACCAAACCAATAATATGAGCAATAATAATCAGTAACTTCATTTGGTTAAGACTATTAAGATTTGATGTAATAATGATACTGACATAAAAGTACTTTTAGTTAAGTTTTGTGAACTAATTTAGTGACAAGCTAAACAAATAAAAATTAAATGCTTACGCAAGTATCAAATATCACAAATGAAATGCTTATTGTATTTTTGTACACAAATGGTGAACTGTTAATGTGAAGAATGTACAGAGTAACAGATTGGTATAATGTATAATGCTTAATACTGATCTCCTTAAAGTAAAATAACTAAAACCCTAATGTGTAAAATTAGCATGCAAGCCATTTTGCTTAAAAATAAATTTCTACTTCATACTGTTGTTTCTGCACAGATCAATATAAGGCACTGGATTAAAAAAAAAAATAACATTCTTTAGCTATTAACACTTACAAAAATATTTAAAAATTAATATTCTAGCTGCTTCCTCTGTGCACTAAACAACAACATAAGCTCCAAATTTCATTAATTAACCCATTGCCGCCGGGGAAAATGAACAAAAAAATGGGGGAAATGCAGTACTCATTTTTTATATTTTTGTGAAATATCTCTGTTCATAGATGGCTCTGCTAGTCCTGATTTCACCTTTCCTTGAATTGGCGGTAAAAAACGTATTTTTACTAGTGCTATAAATATAGATGGTGTTATTTTTAACAGCAAATTAGGATAACGTTAAATATTTTTATAAATCGATGAAAAGGGTGAATGGGCGAGACAGGCAGTACTCGTAATTGGCTCATTGGATACTTAGTA